ACCTATGTATATATATATACGTTATACATATACATATAATATATCATATACATATATCTGTATATCTGTTATACTTATATGTATATATATCTATAATAGCTATAGTTATATATAGAAGAAAACTTGTGTCAACTTAAGTTGACATCCACCAACTTCTTACCATTAGATTTCCTAGGGATCCTTGCATGATATGGAAGGTGACTTGTTTATATATATATCTTTGTGTGGAAGAAAGTTTAGTGGACAACTATTCCCTAATCACACCTTACAGGTTGATAGGAGTCTCCTTGCCTAGTACCTATATATATATATCACCTTAGTATACTAGTATATATATATATATATACTATATACTATATATAAGTATATAACTATTATAGTATGTATTATAGGTATTTATATTATATAGTATACATATGGATATTATATACGTATACGCGTATAACATATACACATATACGTATATATACATATACATATAATACGTACTCATATACATATATATATATCTTATATATCTATATATCATTTATATACGGTATATATCTATATAGTACATATTACGTATTATTATCTATACATTTTTTATATACGGTATTATGTATATGTATTACGTTTATTGATTTTTATTTTTTTATATAGTAATATATATATAGTATGGTATATATACTTTGGATATATGCGTATATTACTTATATATATATAGTGTATATACTATATAGTATGTATATAAGTATAGAAAATAAAATAATATATAGAGAAAAAGTAAAAAAAAATAAATTAAAAAAAAAAAATAAGAAGTAGTATATATATTTATACACTATTTATTACTATATATATATTATATATATACATACATATATATATGTATAGTATATTGTATGTTATAGATATGTATATATGTATATATCTATATACTGTGATTACAGATACTATATACAGTAATTATATATATTATAATATTTATATATATATATACTATATTATATATATATATTTAGGATATGGGTATACTTGCCGGCCAAGGATTCCTGTTGGTGTGATTTGACACATCTTGTCTATACATCACACCTTGAATTGGTGCAGGCTCCATCTTCAAGGTGTGATGTTTTATGGACAAGCATGTGTTCACATCACTACCAAGGATCCTTGGCTACCAGTATACCCTTTTTCGTCTCTCTCTCTCTCCTCACTATATAGTATACGTCTATATATAGTATATTATAGTATATATTACAATCTAGGATTATAGTGTCCAACTAAGGTTAGACACAAAAGTTTCATTTTTGAAGTGTCAGTACTATCAAGACCTTAAAGAGATGCCTGGATCAACTTCATAAAGCCACTATTGACTATTCATCTGAATCATACACCATAGTTTCGTGATGAAAATTCAAATCCTTTTCAGAATATCAGGTAAAAAAAGCAAACTTAGACTTGAGCATCATCTCATCAATGAGATACATACAATCAACATATGAAGTTAGAACCCCAGAATGCCACTTGGCACGATTGTCTGACAAATAACCTCTCAACCATATAGTGTAACGTCATCATCAAAGCTCAAACTATTTTCCCAGAAATTTAGGAAATATCGCCATGATTCGTAAGACCAAGGAGAACTCACTCCTAAAAGCCAATTTTGAGCATTTAGCGGACACTTACACAATTAAACACCCAATCACAATCTCATCATGAATCCAGCACCGCGCTGAAATCACAACAAAACCACAAAAACAAGACAAAGAAACTAACTTTTTTGTACTCACCCAGCTTCCATCAGCAGCGAAGTACCCGGCCACTTAGCCCTAAGCGAGACCTGAACACTCTTCGGGCGGCGATGCTCAGCAGCGACAATGCCAGTCAGAAGAAGAAGGATCCAGAGTGAAGATAATAAAACCCTAGATCTGACAAGGGAGGCCATGGTTCGGTCTCGAGAGCGACGATCCGAGGTTCAATTGATGAAGAGCCCCATTAATTTAAGAGATCTAGGGTTAGGGTTAGGGTTTTTTGTCTGAGGTTTTGGGTACAGGGATGGGGGAGCTCGGCAGTGGACTTGGTGGCCGGTCTCCGCTCTGAGGGGCGTTGGTATTTATAACGGGCTGGGAAGTGGACGAATATTCAACGGTTTTGTGTAAATTGGCTTTGTAATATATATGACGATTTTTCGAAATAGATTTGTTTAGAAATATATTTCCAAATATATCAAACCCTTTTGAAAATATTCGTCATTTTCAATCAAGTTTTAGCCAACTGTGTAAATTGGCTTTGTAATAAATAGGACAAATTTTTGAAATAAATTTGTTTAGAAACATATTTTCAAAAATCAACCTCTTTTGAAAATATTCGCCTTTTTCGATCCAATTTCACCCAGTTGGCTGGCTGAACTGGCTGGCTGAAACTGGGTCGAAAATGACGAAAAAAGTTCAAAAACTTCATGAGAATTTAAATCTCGTGAAGTTTAAGCCGTCATTAGCAATTGTGTTAAGGGGGGTCAAACCTTCACGGGATTTGAAATCCTGTAAAGTTTAAAAACTTCATGGGATTTCAAATCCCGTGGAGTTGCAGGTAGGGATGTTAAATGGGTGGGTTTGGGTATTAATGGGCGGGCCATAAATGGGCGGGTCATAAATGGGCCGTTTGCCCATTTATGGCCCATTTAACATTTTCTAAATGGGCGGGTTTTTGCCCGCCCATTTAATAAACGGGCCGCCCATTTGCCCATTTAACTATAATAGATATATATGTATAATACTTTAGGATGTTTTTTGTAAACTTTTGGGGGTTTTTTGTAAACTATTGGGGGCTTTTTGTAAAATTTAGGAGGTTTTTGTAAACTATTTAAATTATCAAAATATGCAAATGCATGTACATAACCCATTCAGGAATAACATGAACATATTGAACAAGATAGCATTAAAATTACCAATCATGTATTTTTTTTTCTTTTTACTATACCAAGCGCAAAGAACTCAAAGACTACATCACCTGCAAAATGATATACATTGTTTATTGCGATAATCAATGCCTCAAGAAGCCACTTATGCCACATCAAAAAGAAATTCAAATAGAGCACAACTTTTTCGAACGTGCAAACCCGTCTTATGAATAATCATCACAACTCGCCTTAAAATGCCATAATAACCCCACGAGTGGCTTTCAGAGAGAAAGAGTATCAATGTAACCTGAGGAGAGCTCATCAGTTTTAAATTCTCGATTTAATAATTTCCATAATGATGGGGTAAAATGACAGTTACTTCACGCAGGGAAAAAAAGTTCAGAACAATCATGTTGTTCTAACATTACAGAAAGGAAAATTACAGTGTACGAAAAAGCTCAGAAGACCATATACAACGAATTTCCGCGAAGAAATCGAAACATGCAGGATAAATCATCACGATGCTCAAGGATCGAGATCGTTACCGGATCGATCTGGATGTTTCCATGGACGTTATCGTAAACCTACTTCAAGAACCTCTGATCGATCTCGCCGCCGCCTCCTCCTCCGGAGGATCCGTACGTCACCGTCGCCGCCGGTTTCTGCTCTTGCGAGAACGAGATATTGCCGGCGCCATTTTTTTTCCTCTTTCTAGTTTCTCTCTGTTCGAATTCGAGAACGGGATTAGGTTTTGGTTTTGGGAATCGGGCGGGCAAATGGGTGAATATAGACTGCCCATTTACTGCCCATTTAGTATGGCTTGAAATGAACCCGCCCGATTAGGCCCATTTAACTAAATGGGTGGGTTTTGGGTGGGCCAACTGATGGGCGGGCTGGGTGGGTAAATGGGTATGGGTTAAAATTGTCCACTATCACTGTCAAAGTTCACTGGAAATTAGGGCATCGACAAATTTTAGGTAAAATCTTTAAATTTTTTCTCTCCTTCTTTCTTACATATTCTCACTATTTCATGCTAATAACTTATTTAAATTTAGATTTGGAAATAATTTTTGAAATATTTATGAATTTTGTGAAGAAAAAATAAAGAATTTTGTGTATGAAGTTGGGGAAGTTATCGAAAATTGTAAAAGTTAGTGTATTATAAAGGTTTAACATTTGGTTAAAATTATGGATGTCTAAAATTGATATTAGAGAATTTAATGGTAAATTATATTTTTTGTGTTTTTCATGAAATATTGATATTGGAATATTTTTACGCTTTCAGATGTAACGATGAACGATCGAATCGTAATTCTTTATTCATATCATTGGAAGATTAACTATCTCGAGAATAATATGCTCGTATATGAAGGAGGTGTGGCGAAATCGTTGTTTTTATCAAAATCATGTACTTTCGATGAATTGGTTAATGCCTTACACAAACTTACATTAACCAATCCACGTGAGTATCACTTCAACGTGATTTGTAATTATCCTGTTACGAGGAATAGAACAAGCAGCATTCAAATCTTAAGTGACTACGATATGGGTCTTATTGGAATATTACATGACAATAAGTATTCAGTGGAATTATTTATTGAAAAGCATCACAGAAATTTAGGCGAATCGGTGAATCATGACGGAGTATACTCTCGCATGTTGGATGACATTGAAGTTGACTCCGCCGGCTTTTTGTCTCCGCAACAGGATATGAGATGGACACATTCATAATACTTGAGCAGTCTTTCACTTGTGTGCACTTCAAATGCCTTCGATGATAACGCCCCCCCATCAAGATATAATGCCTTCCACAGGTGTGACGATAGAAGATGATAATGCAAGTATTGAATCCGAGGATGATGATGAAGAGGATGGCTTACAAATCAATAGCATGATATTTTTGATAGATCGTGATGAAGGGGGTAACCAATATATTGACCGATGTTACTCTAACAATGAGTATGTTGTGTTAGAGGATCCGCCACTTGTTTGTGGAAAATTTGTAGTAAAAAAAAAGCGAAAGAAATATATTTGATTTGTATTCTCTTGATCTCAATTACAATTTGGATTCCCAATTACAAAAAAGAGGAGAATTGATCTGAATTCTCCCCTATGTTTAAGTCTGGGTTCTTCACGGTAGCTATGAGATGTCTCCCTCGAATGCTTGCGTCGAGTTTGCTTCTCGTTAACGATCCGAACGTCTTGTTTCACTAGAACGGTATCTTCTCCTCACGATTTGACGCTGTGGATGATTTACGTGGTAAGTTTGAAACTCTGAATGAATTGATAACTCAGAGCGAGTTTAAACTCTTGTAAAAGAGTTGATTGATCTAAGTTTGAAACTCTGAATGAATTGATAACTCAGAGCGAGTTTAAACTCTTGTAAAAGAGTTGATTGATCTTAACCGTAATTGGTTAGAGAGCGAGTTTAAACTCTTGTAAAAGAGTTGATTGATCTTAACCGTAATTGGTTAGACAAGCCAAGCACGTAGATAGCCCCAAGAATCTGTTGCCGAGAAGATGATCCGAAAAAGCCAATCTCTAGATCTCCAAAATTCTCAAAGATCCAAAGATATCCCCCTCCTCCTCTCTGATCCGAACTAAGATGATCTTTCAGGTATTTATAGGCAATTAGGGGGTGTAACCGCCCCTAAAATTGCTCCTTTGTGGGGCTAATGTGATGTAATTGCCCCTTAAATCCTCCTGAGTGGAGTTGTGATCCCCTCAGATCGTGGGAAACGGTTTTGAAACCATTCAGCTCGTGTTTGAATGAGTCAAACACAAAATCCGCGTTCTGGTATGAATTCTGCGTTCAAACGCAGCGTCTGGAAGCTCGTTTGCAACGTCTGGAAGCTACGTTTGCAGCAATTTAGAAACTGCGTTTGTAGCAATTTGGAAGCTGTATTGGCAACTTGGAAGCTATGTTTGGCCGCTTTCGGAGGCTGCGTTTGCGGCCGAACATGAGCTGCGTCCGTGGGCTTGAACTACATCAGCGATGGCTGATAAGGAGCTGCGTCCGCGGTTGAATTGACGTTGTGGCTTGATGCTAAAACGTGAGGAGGACTTCTGCGTCTTGGTTTAAGGAGACCGTTAATTTATTGTCTCTTTTTGTCAGAACGTTACAAAGATCATCGTTTTGTAATCTTTGCTTCAGCTCTTTGATATGTGAGAGTCGTCAGGTTGTAACTCTCGCTGTTGATTGTGAAGGTTGTTGATTAGAGCTTTCATCAGTTGTTGTGAAGGTTGTCAGATTGTAACCTTCATCGATCTACATGAAAGTCTTTAAATTATAGCCTTCTGAAAGCCGTCAAATTGTAACTTCCATCATTAGTGTTTGATGAGGATCATCTATCTGCAGTGAATTTTAGACAACCTACACCGCCTAATGAACTTTATGGAGAATAATGGATTGATGACTCCACGATGGAAAGTATTCCTATCGACACTAATTTAGATGATGATACATAAGATGAGGACTTCTCATTTAGAAAGAGCGATCTATTTGAAAGCAACGAGAAATTAATTCATGCGTTTTGTTTATGGGCCATCCAAAAAATGTTAAGGTTAGGCAGTCAAAAAGTAATGCAACAAGCTATAATGTAGTTTGTTCTTACCACAAATATGATGATGAAGAAGATAATAGTGGGCACCATGACGACAATGCAAAATGCCCTTAGACGCTTAATCCACGCTTAAGGGTAAGAGTAGGCGGGCAATTTAAAATAATGCACTACAACAGACTTCACACATGTAGTAATTCTCAATTAGAGACGAATCATAAACACGCATCTGCCTCTTTCATATATTGATTAATTATGCCTAAACTATGGGAGGATCTTGATCTAAGGCTAAAGGTTATTCGTATTTTAGTGCATAAAGTGACCAACTTGGATGTATCATACAACAAGTGTTAGAATGCTCGGAGGAAGACGATGATAAAAATATTTAGAGATAGGGACAAATCTTATAAGATCTTACCATATTATCTTGAAGCACTCAAAAAAAAAATTCGTAGACAGTGTATGAAGTATCATCAAATCCTGTTGACGGCGGAGATAGACGGTTCACAGGGGTATTTGGGTATTTGGGTATTTGAGCATTATATTGAGGGATTCAGATATTATCGTCATCTTCTTAGTATTAACAGCACCCACTTGTATTGTAAATATAAAGGCATTTTGTTTATTGCAACCAGAGTAGATGCAGATGATGATT